GCTTTTGCGCGGTTAGAACAGGAGTTAGGGATGGGAAACACAATGCATTAAATCCATCTCCCAGTGAACATGATGGTTATTTTCTGTAAACTGTTTCCTAGATTTTCTCAGTGCTGTTTTGGTAGTCAGAAATAATGGATTATTTATTGTTCTCCAGAGGCTATTCTTTCATTCAGTAACTTGTTATGAGACTGTTTTTTCTGGTAGTTAATCACCACTGTTACTTCACAAGTTTTGTCATTATGCTTCTTTTTATCTGTAATATATATTGTGTATTCCGAATGAAAACAAGATACCCATCAAATATTTGCAGATTACTTACCATGTTATCCTTTTTCTCCTGAGCTCTGTCATGGAGCGTATACTTCTTTGCATTTGCAGACTGACTGCAGAGGAGCTAAGCAGAACTGTTTATTTTCTATTTACTTATGTGTGTGTATATGGATATATAAAAATAGGTAAATATTATTCAGGTTGGATGATGGAAAGCAGGGCAGAACTTTTGCTTGGAAATACGAAGAGGCATCTGTGTAATCCTCCTCAGTGGTTGGTCTGTTACGTGTACTCCTGAGCAGCCTGCTTGTGGAGCAGGTTGGACCAGACAATTATCAGAGGCCCCTTCCAATCTCAACCATTCAGTGATTCTGTGATCATTGTAGCTGACATATGTTTAGCAATTTATTTCTGTTTTAAACAGAAGGGCTCTTCTGTAGGTCTTTATAACTGGCTTCCAATTTAAAAGGTTTAAGGTTTCATTTTTAGTTTTTTCTTTCCCTCCTTCCCTCCCCCTGTTATTTTCATCAGTCACATGTCAGTTATGTTCCATTGTTAAACACAGTTCCAGAATTGTTCCACTTCCAGCAGTGGTTTATTCCTTGGGATTGTTCTTTCCATTAATTATAAAACAAGTATCTTGGCTGTAAAATACTCCTGAATTCTTCTGGTGTTGTAGCAGTTACGCATAATGATATGCATTGCTTGAAACACTGAAGAAAGTGGAAAGTGAATCTCAACAATCCTTTATTGTCTATCATTTCAGTCATCAAAGGCAAGACGTGTATTTTATTTTTTTTTTCTTGTACATCGTTTTGTGCAGAGAACACACTGTGTATTTCCTAAATATTCATATAGAAGAAGACAGACAAAGGAAAAAACCCCAAAGACTAAGAGATAAGATGATGTTTCATGTTTTCGGTGGGATTGCTGAGATGTTCCATGTCTTCTGTTTGCTTTTTGAGCAGTCTGTCAGGAGTCGATGAGCCCTTGGAGTACAGGGATGTACTGCAGGCTGCAATTGCCAGTGCAGTCAGAAACAGAATGAAAATAGGTTGAACAGATGAAAGAACAAAATCCCTTTCTGGCTTCGCCTACGCATCCATGGCCATCTGCTCCGTTAAGGACCAGTCATCAAATCTTCTGGATTTAGTAGGGCACTGACAGTCTCCACCTGGCATCTTCGCTGCTATCTTAAAAGAGGAACCTATCTTCAGATTTACCACAATTAATAACTCAATTAGATACTATTTCTGGTATCCCAAGTTCTCATAGTTTAGGTATTCTAAGATGCCATTTTTGCAGCACTGAACTAAAATATTTTATTATTTACTGTAGAGCTGCTCTAAATATTGTTAATCACTTTTATATTTGCTAGTAATATATTTCTTCTAAATAAAACCTGTTGAAAAAGTGCTGACAACAGGTGCCAGCATTTTAACATTAGATGGATATCTGTAAATATAAAATATCCATGCAAACAAATTTTCTTACTCCATAGCATAAGATGGCCATTAAATGAAGATGAAACTTCAGATGGAGCTGAGTCTTAACACTATAGAGCATATTTCCCATTCCTGTTCAGTATTTGGTGCAAACTCAAAGCAAGATACAGAGCAAGATGGATCATAGATGATCCTTACAGTTCTGTGTAGGATCCTTAGCTTTCTTCCACTACCTTCATATTAGTGGGAGTACTTTCAACAGTTAAATGTAGATTTTTATTTACTAGTCAGACTCAGAAGTTTGGTGAGCACTATTAATCTTTGTGATGATCTTAAATTTTGTTACTGCAGAACACTGTGTGCTTAATAACTTTCATGTGTTTTAGGGATTGGGGAAATGCAGGGAGTGCTTAGAACAACATGGCATCTTGTAAGAAAACTTTCACAATAAAATCCATATAAAGTAATAATATAGTAGTATTCTTTAGGATTTTGTGATTGCTGTAGTTTTTATGGACAAATGTGTTTTTTATTGTGTAATATGTTCACTGCAATCAAAGCACTAATGCAATGTAAGAGCAGTTTGATCCAAGAAAAGTAATACTTCTATATGTCATGTTTATATATTATGGAAAGGCTGAATTTGTCATAAAAATGCATTGCAGTACTTCCCAGTCCATGCATTCAGGCTTCACAAAGGTTAGAAAATCTAACTGATCATGAATAGGAAGCTCTTCTAGACAAATTTTTTTAGCAGGATCCAAGTCTTCCTCTTTTTTTGTAACTTCAAGCAAATTATCCTTCTGGTATGTACAGTTGCAAAAGTAATTCTCCAAATCTTGAAACTAATTTAGCTAGAGAGTTCCACTATCTCATCAAAGTCTTCCATTTCACAAAGATTCTATAGAATAAAAACTAACCAAATCTTTGTAGCTTCTTATTGCTGCTCTGAGTCCTTTTCAGTTTCAGAGTGCATTTGGGAAACTGGACAACCAAAAAAGAGTACTTCTTGATGATACATCTGAAGCAAAAATTGTATTGTCTTGGTTGCAAGATTTTTTTCTCCTTGACAACAAAACAAATTGAGGTTGCACCATAATTGTTACAGTGTTTTAAGCTTTCCTGTCTTCTGCTCCTTTCAGGTAGTTGTACGGATTTTGGGGAAATTATTCTGAAAATCTTTATTTTCTGACAAAAAACTTGAGAATCACTATGTGGATGCTTCTCTGCACTGAGACTAGGCAAAACTGGGATGGGGAAAGGATTGTGTCTGGAAGGTCTCCTGAGATGGCTAAGAAAATTATGTACATAAAAGTGATTGTGAATCTCCTGTAATGTATGTGTGCTTCATTGGCACACATTGCTCCTTGTAGATTGAATTTATTAGCACCAAAACATAAAATTACATTATACCCCATGAAACTGGATTGCAGTATTATTAACTTTATTAACTCTTGCATTATCACCTGTTGATGAACTGATTATATCTGAACCAGTTTTGTAGCTTGAATGTTAGCGAGTCAATGAGCATGTTAATTGCGCTTTTGTGATACGGTGTTCAGGGGTCTGGGTAAAGGGGTCTGGTCTCCATGGTTGTTCTGTAACATAATTTGGTGTCTGCTCAATGTCATGTCCTCATGTCCTTGAGAGCTGGAAGCTACATAAGTAAACTTTTCATTTGTCATGAATTGTATAAAGCATAGTAGGAGCTGGGTATAGTTTTATAGTGGTTTCAGACGCTGGAATTTGAGAATAATGCTATCAGCAGTTACCAGTTACTTGAGAATAGTGCTGTTGGTTAATAATGCTATCAGTTAATATCAAATTCTGGTGTTTATTTGTGGTTAGAAGTATTCCTGTTACCCTTTCAAGGACACATAGCTGAGATCCTTCCATCAGAAGTATAATGGGACGCTTTTTAAAACCAGGACAGGTCGCAAATAGTAGTCTTCCTTAGGGCAGAAAGCACATTAGGTGGGTAAAGCTTGTTCTTTCAGGCTGTATCATGTAATATTTCTTTGTTTAAAAACTGGATATAGTTGAGTTAGTGCCATGTGCCAACAAGAACTGAGTTGGTGTAGGTGGAGGTTTTTTTCATTATAATTTACTTTCCAAATTATTCATAGGTTTGTCTCTGTGTTAAGCTGAACTCCCAGTCCTCACCAAATCACTGGTAAACACTAAGGCAATATGCAGATTTTTAAAAACCATTAATATTATAGATTTATGCAAAGAGGGTGGATAAAACAGACATGTGGTCAAGGGCCACAGGACTCTTCTCAAGATAGAAATCTGTAGATATAAATTTATTTCCTTTGCTATATAGCAAACTTTAGTAACTGCACCACAGATATTAAGGATCTTGGTTAATTATGTATTATAATACTGTTTCTACCATTCCTAAAACATTTAATGCCTCAGTAAACCCATTTATATCATATTAAAATAATTAAAATGAATCTGTATCTGTTCTGCCTCTCCCTGACATCTGGCATTTCAGAAGTCCATTCTCATTTTACTAGTCCTAGTGGTTGAGACTTAATTTTTGAAGCCTTTCTTTCTTATTTACAGAAAGCATCCATCTATCAATGAGTGTAATCTTTCCCAAACCTGCTTTTTACTTACAAAACAAGAAAGCTCAATGTGGGGATTATCTGTGTGAATGCTACAAAGTCCTTTGGTGGATGTCCCTTCTCATCTGCTATTTATGTAGCTGATAAAGAATTGTATTTGCAATAATGTTCATAAATGTTCTCAGAATCATATTTTGTATGATACATAGTATTACACAAAGAATATTTTAAAAACTCTTGACGTTAAAGAGCAAGAATAGTTAAATCTATATTTTTAATGATGCAAGATAGTATGCTGTCATCTGATGCTAGGTACATAATATTCTGTTTTGAACTTTACTGATTAAGGCCTGACTCTGCAGGTATTTACAGATAGACATATTTTATGCACATAAATAATTCCATGGCATTTGATTTTCCTGCTTACATGGGTAAAGCTAAGGCATCAGGGCTTCTAAACCTAAGTTCTGTGCTGTTAGTGTTTTCAAATACATTCTTTTCAGAAGAGTGATCCCTGCTTATCAGCCACCTTCTTCCCAAGCCTTTCATTTGTCCTTAGAGTACTTCACCTTGTAACATGTGGAAAAATAAGTTTACATTATGTATAATAACTTGCATGTTTCAGGATGTGAATGAACACAGGGAATTACTCATCAAACAGACAGGAAGGATTTTTCATGCAATACCTAAATCTCCATTTTCTTTTTAGCCAACCAATGGGATCTTCATGAGTGTATTTCTCATCGTTTTACCTCTGGAGTCCATGGCTCATGGGCTTTTCCATGAGCTGGGAAACTGCTTGGGAGGAACATGTGTTGGGTATGCTGTTGTGATTCCCACCAGTTTTTGCAGGTACAGTTACCATGTATTTCAACTTCACAATGGTGTAAGTGTACTGTTAGCTGCTAGAGGCAACGCAGTGCTGTCGCTTGTATTTTTCAGTAATTAAATACAAATTTAAATAATAGGCAGATTCTGTATTTTTACTTTTCCTCACCTTCCAAAAAGAATGATTAACTCTGAATCCACCTTTTAATATGCATTTTATTTGCTTTTAGAAAGGAAGTGAAGGCTTTGCACGCCAATCATGCGTAAGCAGATTCCACAGTCAGTCTCTCACACAAAGGAGGTTTGGGGCATTTGACTGAGTGCAGATATTTTACATGAGAAGATTTAATAAGCCAAATAGATCAGTTTGGAACAATTTTGAATTCTATTAAATGGTATGGTGTCTACCTTTAAAGGACATTAAAATCAGATTTGTGAGTGGGCTACGTATCACAATTGGTATTGTGAGTTTACAGCTTATTTTTGTTCCAATATAAATGTTGCCATATAAGAAATTATTGGGGTGGAGGGATTGTACTATTATTATTTGCCCTTTTTTGTGGGGTTTTTTTAAGCTTTAAATTTGCAAATGCTATGTTAGCCATATAATTAAAATAGTTCATACACTTTTTTGTAAACAATAAACAAGAACTGTGTAAGTTATCTATTTGATTTACAAGAGAAACGGAGTAGTAAGTTGAAATCAGAGGTTTAAAAATAGAACTGCCCAGTTAATGAAAACTGCCCAGCTTGAGTATGTGTAATAGATTCGGTGGGTAGGGATAAAAATTAGCAGGCAAAGAAACAGAAGGTTGCATGCTCATTTTAGATCAGTGTATCTTAAATAGTGTGAAATAGTGTAAAAACAATTTTTCTGGTCATTCAGCTCAGCACTCAAAACCATCCGTGTACTCAATTATTGTTGGGGGTTAAAAGAATACAATATAGATTATTTTGATTGTTTCTATGACAACAGTTTAATTCCTTCATTACATCGTATTATTCTGGCTCTGGCAGTTCCCTCTCATTTTTGAGTGAGTGACATACTCTTGAACAACTTTTAGGACCTTGCAGCACTGAACTTCCTTATTAACAAAGCTTGACTCTCTCAGTGATGAGGCTTCACTTGCTGAGATAAACAGTAATGATGATATATTCAGTATAGCTGTAGTAGTGGAAGGCTAGCCTTCCTGAAGGCACTAGAGAGCTGAGGAGGTGCAAAACTTAATTAGTTAGACCAACAAAGAAGCAGGTAGCTTTACACACTGACTTGCAAACAAAATACATGAAGAATATGTACGTACATGCATATGTATAGAAAACAGAAGTCACATTTTGTATTAGTAGAGTGAGTGCATCTCCGTATTTTCACCCACAAAACCTCTCCATGTCTGTAACTGAGCACAAATCAGGCCAGTTTGGTACAGCTGTCAGTCATTTTCTTTATCATTACCATTGGCTGAAGAGTGATGAATGTTATTTCTTTTTCTGAAAACACATCCTGAAGAGCATTCCCATAACTAGGTGTTGTGCAACACCAGACCTCTTATTTTCATGATTAGTGAATACTTGTGTAGACTTAAAAAAAGGGGGGGGAAAAGTGTTTGTGTATTTTGGTATATTTTTAATAGTTTTGGAACCCAGGTACTCCTTTGTTATATATGCATATTCATAGACACGTACACATCTATATATACATGTTTTATTCCAGGTCTGGTTTGTAATTGTCTTAGAACTTTCATTTTCTGACCTGTGAATAACATTATCTGAAATGCATTTTTGATTCTGAAAGATCAGCATCTGAACCACACACACAAGTAGGAATTGCTGTGTTTATGTAAGTACCATATTGAATAAAAGCTAGTTTAGAACAGAGAAAAATTAATTCAAAATATCTGAGCAAAATGTATAGTTGAATCTCTCTTTAGTCTATTATTAGAAACTAGTTTGCATGCTCTGTGCAGATTAGCACTCATTCTACCTGTACTTCTTTCCAGTTGTATGTGAAAAAGTGCCTGTCTGAAGGCAATGCTCTCCCAGTGGGACTTAATGTAATTGTTGAAGCCTACCTAGTGTGTTAATGTCCTGGCTCCTTTCTCTCTCCCTGCAGGAATAGCGTGGGGTTGAGTAAGGACTATACTTTGAGTGAAAGGAGTGTGATGGAAGGGAGAAGGAGATAGTGGTCCCTCACTCAAATGCAGTGTTTTGCATTGTTTATAAACTGTACATTTCAAATGAATTTGAATTTAGAACAGTGCTACTTCATAGCAGAGAAAATGTGCACAGGGAAAAAAAAATCACCAGTTGCTAAAAGTCCATTAAGCATGAAATAATTACAGATAATAATCCTAGCTGGTTTTCTTCTCTTTAGTCCTGATGGCCAACCAACTCTTCTTCCACCTGAGCATGTGCAAGAGTTAAATCTGAGGTCTACTGGCATGCTTAATGCCATCCAAAGATTTTTTGCATATCACATGATTGAGACATATGGTTGTGACTACTCTACAAGTGGGCTGACCTTTGATACCCTTCACTCCAAGATCAAGTCTTTCCTTGAACTTCGGACATCAGATGGGCCCAGACATGATACCTACATTTTATACTACAGTGGTCACTCACATGGCACTGGTGAATGGGCCTTGGCAGGTAACTGATTTGTGGAATTCTTTTTATTAATAGTTTTGATATTGATAAACTTTCCAAATCACTTCATTTGCACTGTGAAAAATCATACTGTATTGCAGAACTTTGAAGTTTTGGTCACATTTGTTATCTGATAATCCAGAATTGCAAAAAAACCCAGTCTTTGGAGAACAGGTAATTCATGAACTTTTATGTTATTGTAGTATTTAGTCACTTCGTTAAAAATTCTTTTGCAGCTAACTAATCTTACACTTGTTCTCAAAATTGTCTAAATATTATTGACTCCAAATGTATGCTTACAAGTTTAAACTTCATTTCATACTCCCCTTACAATTCAACAAGTTAACTTTAAAGTTCACTTTTTTTCTAGAAAAGTGGCAGTGACCCTTCTGCTCTAAAAACAGATTTAGGGAACTAGATTGATTGCCCAGTGAAGCTGTGGCTGTCCCATCCCTGGCAGTGCTCAAGGCCAGGTTGGATGGGACTTTGTGCAACCTGGTCGAAGTGGAAGGTGTTCCCACCCATGGCAAGGGTATAGAACTAGGTGATCTTTGTGGTCCCTTCCAACCCAAATGATGCTATGATTCTATGATTTCTTTTGTATTTTGAGGAATATTTCTTCCCTGTAATGAACAGTAGAACCTCTTCTCATTCCCTGAACATGGCAGAGTTGAGTTATGCCTTGTTCTGTGTCACGGTGTCAGTTAGGCTGTCATGAGGGACTGCATTCATGTCCTTAAGAGGTGCTTTGTACTTTCTGTAAAAGACAGATTCAATACAAGAAATAGGAGACAGATACACAATCTACACTAGAAGAGCAGGTCTTCACACATATAGCAAACTTTGTATTGCGAAAACAGCTATGGTTTGCTGACATCCTAGAGGTTGGGGGTCACTGTGGGTGCAGGCTACAGCCCCCTATAAAAAGGGCCAGTTTAAGCCTCGTCATGGCATAAACTTCACCATTTCTCCTTCTCTTGGCCCATTTTTAATCTGTCTGTATAATGGGCAGTTCTCTCTCAACTGTATTCTTTGGTAAACCTACTGAAGTTTTCAAATCATGCGTAGCTATAGCCTTGCTTTTCTGCTGTATGGAACCAGGCTTCTGAAGTTGCTGCATGCGAAAAGTGAATGTTACAGTAAATACATTGAAAATTTGCAACTCTTTTCCTTCCTGGGACAGAATTATTTCTCTTGGATAGCGCTCTCCCTGCGAGCTACTGGCTGTTTGTCAGCAGTCTGTCTCCAGGCACGTGTGCTATTCAACAGTGTAGATGGATACTAGCTTTGCAAGTGGTCATGCTGAGGTGTTCAGGTGCAGGTCAGTTTTCATCTGGAGACCGTATACCTGGTTTGGTGCAACTCCATGCCTGAACCATTAGACGTGATGAAGAGCAACACGTGTTTTTTCTCAAAGGCTTGGTCTGTATCAGTAGTTTAAAAGAGCCACAGCTGTACTTTGAGCTTAGTGTGAGTGATATACTGCAGTGTACGCTGGGGTGGCTGAATGACTTCTCCAAGAATAGGGTGGTTTGTCCATAAGAGCATCTGCCACCGTGTGCAATTGCTAAGTGCGTCCACACATTGTGTGGAGCTGGCTAGCAGCAAACTCTGCCTCCCACCCATGCTCCAGCTGGCAGTGCAGACACAGTTAGCTATCTAGCATATATAGAGCCAAATGTTGCTGCACAAATTGGACAGCTTCCAGACCAGTCCTGGCTTATACCTATCCTGCCTGGAGTGTGACAGGTCTCTGTGTACCTGCTCAAGTGGTTGTAGCCTAAAATAAACTGTGTCTTCACTTTTAGAATAAGGGCTGAGGTAACCGTTAAAAGAAAGTTTCTATAGTAAAATATGCAGTGTGTAAGTACAGTTCTGGTCAGCTTTCTCACAAAGCTCCTTTTCAGTTCTCTGTCCCAGCACATCTTCAGCTTCTACTTCAAGATATGTATAGTCACATAAAGGAGAGGAACAGGCAGCTATCACATGCCTTGGATACTTTTTTGTGATTAATTTTAGATAAATCATGGTCCTTCTTCCAGATAGCACTGCTCCTGAATGTAACTTGAAGTATAAATTGAAAAGATGAAGTCTCTCTGTGTAATTGTACTGCATGTATTGGACAGTGGCATTCTGTGACAGATGGAACATTTGGTCATGAGCTCCCATAATGTGTGCTGTCCTCTGACCTCTGGAGAGGATAAAGAGAGATGGAAACAACAAAATAAAACATTTGGATCTAATAGAAGAAGTAATGTTTCATTGCCCGCTTATGTCGTTATACGGCACAGCAGTAGCAGTGTAGACTTTGCTTTGTAGTAACATCTTTTAAATGAAGCTTGCTGGATTTATTCGTTCACTAATGATGTTTCTCTGTTGTTGGAAGCTGGGATGTACCACAGTGGTGTATAAAAAAGCTGTTAACTAGTCATGCATAAAGTATGAGCAGTCAAACGACCTGAGAGGTCATGTTCTCTGAGGGAAGGCAAAGGCAAGAGCTGGACTAATGAAGCTTTGTCTCTATTGCTGAAACCATCAGCTTAACTGCCTGCAAAACCTGTCAGAGCCAGACACGGCTAGGAACATGGATTTCTTACACAGCTTGGTGCCCAAACTTTGCACTGGCTGATAAGTGTGTGTGTTTATGATCAATAGGGTTAGAAGCTGAGGATGTGTACATGAAGGATGATATGGTTTTCTTTGGGCAGTTCTATCCAGTACTGTTTGAAATCACCTGCACCCTGCATACATTAAAATAAAGTTTACTTACAAGCCTTTAAAACATGAATAAATAAAGGAATTTTACTGTTAATTGACACAGAAGGCTTACCTAGAAAAGGGAAACTGCTTCTACAGAAGTCTCTGCTGTAAATAACTACAGCAATTTGGGGATCATGTACCAAGACAAGTTGTTACGTTAGGTTTGTATATTAAGATTCTCCTTGGTACTAAATTTTCCAGTTTTTTGGAGAAGGTTGTAGCCCTTCAATTTTGCTTCTACTTTAACTGCAATAGCATGCTCAAAGCTTTAACTCTATTAATTTGAAGCACTTTTTGTCACCACTTACAGGTAGAAGTGTTAGTGCTGAAATAGGCAGTTATTCCATTTGAGATTCATCTGTGCAGTTAAATTCCTACTAACAAGATTTTAAACACTGCTAAATGTACTTACATTCCATGGTGAAAATCACTATGGAATTAAAATGCAGTTATTTTAAATGACATTCTCCTCTCTTCTAAAAGTCTTAATTTTTTTTAAATTTGACATTTTCATACTAGAGTGTTTTTACTGTAAATCTGTTTCATAGCTCCAACCTGCCAACAGATCGTCACATTAATAGTCACTACAGAGCCAGTGGAGGTTTATCCACTTGTTTGCAAGATGTTTCCTTAGGCAATTGAGTAAGTAGTCTGCTTTTCAAAGCTACATGGGTCCTGCAGTATCCATTACAGTTAAGCAGAAGTACGTATGTCCCCACTATAGGTAACTTGGTTTAATTACAATCTGATCTTCCCAAGCATTGTCAGAGCTAGAGCTGAGATGGAACATGAGAAGTTGGATGCTCTTCTTGCAAGTGTTTTCTGAGCTGATAGGAAATAAATATTGTGGGGAAAAAATCCTGTGATGTTTTTATTTCATTGAGCTGTAAAACCATACCAGTTCTAATTTTCTTGAAGGTCTGAAGACAACTGTGTCTGTAGAGTAAATCTCTCCATTTTTGGTCATGTGAATTTTTTTAAGCCAAAGCAGTGGTTGTGCCTGTAGGTGGCTTTCTCATTGTGCTTCAAATCTGTTAGCATGTGTTGTGTTCTAAAGTCCTCTCTTTTCCTTAAAAGAGGAGTCCTTTTTAATACTAATAAAAACATATTGAAAGGGACTTTTTTTTTCTTCTTAAAATTATTAATAATAATACAAGTTAAACTCTTACTTCTGGTTTTCTTGTTCAGCTATTTCCAGATTTCTCCAGTAGGCTGCAATTTCTTTCACTCTGTGAGGGAATTCCTTTTTTTTTTTTAACCAAGGGTGAGTTAATGTGCTCATCTGCCACAGCAAGTCAGGTGGAATCAGTCAGTACCTCCCTGGAGATCTGCAGCATCTGCAGATGGGGAGGATCAGTTGAAAACTTCTGTTATATCTGTCCAGGTTGTTAAAATACCCACAGTCAGAACTGTAGAGAGGGTTCTGTTTCTTTGTCCTAATATGAAATCTTTTTTCCCGTGTGGCAGGGGGTGATGCTTTACGACTGGACACACTCTTGGACTGGTGGAGAGAAAAGAATGGTACTTTCTGTTCTCGACTCATCATCGTTTTAGACTGTGAGAACTCTCAGCCTTGGGTTAAAGAAGTGAGAAAAGTAAATGACCAGTACGTTGCTGTGCAAGGAGCAGAAATGGCCAGAGTTGTAGACATCGAGGAATCAGACCCTCCACAGCTTGGTGACTTCACCAGGCAATGGGTTGAGTACAACTGTAACCCTGACAGCAACATCAGCTGGTCCGAAAAGGGACGTACAGTGAAAGCAGTGTATGGTGTGTCAAAACACTGGAGTGACTACACTTTGCATTTGCCAACGGGAAGCGATGTTGCCAAACACTGGATGATATACTTCCCACGTATCACCTATCCGTTAGTACATTTGGCAAACTGGTTTTGTGGTCTCAATCTGTTCTGGGTCTGTAAAGCATGCTTTAGGTGCTTGAAAAGACTGAAAATGAGCTGGTTTCTTCCCACAGTGCTGGACACTGGACAGGGTTTCAAACTTGTCAAATCCTAATTAGCAACCAAAGAGAAAATGAAGTGAGAGCTCTGGGACCTTTCTCACTGTACTGTACTTACAACTTTTTATATGAGTACTTTTCTCTGAAAAAATCTGCTGCACTCACTTTAATCAGCTCTTTGAGCAGCTACAGTATATGCAACAGTTAGAAACTGCAGTCTTAAATAGAAGAGGGTCAGACTATGGTGTTTGATTTTTGTTGGTGGTCTGTACGTACATATGTAAGAGACTTAATATGACCATGCATTTTGGAGACAGTTCACATGTTCATAGGTGTTACTTAAAGCAGGCATTGTTCAGAGTCATCAGTTTGATGGACAACAGCTCCTGTGAATGTTACAGCGTGCTTTTTTGTCATTTACATCCACTGTAAGGTTCACATACAGGAAAGGAACCAAGCTAATATTCAAATCAATTTATATGTCCTTGAAATTATATAGTGCAATCAAGGGTATTGTAAAACAGCATCGAGCCAAAAAAATAGATGGATAGCCATTGTAGGTAAGTAGCTACCAAGAATCTTTAGTTTTATTTGCCTTTACACTTTTAGCCCCTGCCTCAGTTCTTTACTGCATCCGTGGAAATTTGCCACAGAAAACAAGGAAATGGGACAATCCTCTGATGTTCTGGCGCTGCTCGGAAAATGTTTGCTGAAGTGCAGTTTTAAAAACTTTCAGTGTTACTTTCCAAATTCAGTATCTTACTGGTGATCTTTTTTAATTATTTTTCTTTTTAATATTCCCAGTAGTTACTTCATACATGGAATGAAAAGTACAGTGAGAGTTTTTCCCTCACCACTTAAGGTAGTTCTGGCTTTTCCTTCCTGGGCCTCTTACTGGTTTGTGTTTTGAAAAGCTACCCTGAAAGAAAGAAAAAGCAGAACAAAGCCCAAAGGGAAAATAATCCATAGGTTAAAAATGGAAATAGATGTTGCCTTGCTTCCATGTTTATCTGAAGTCTTTGCTGTGCCTAAGACCTTGACTCTCTAAAATGCTGACTACAGAATTTGACTGATGAGTTCATTATATGTTAAAACCATAAGTTTGTCAGAACCCTAATGCATTATGCCCTTAGGACGGGGCAATCCTGAGTATTCCTCAACTCTGTTCTCCCAGCCATAAGGTCCTAATCTTAATCCTTCCATTTACAGAGCTGGATGGAACTCTAGAAATCCTGTCCCAGCCTTTTCTCTTCAGTCAGAGAAGCTACATAGCTTTCTGATCTCATTTTCTCAAGTACAGCAAATAAGGAGTGAGACAACTACGCAGCTAAGTCAGTACAGTTTGTGGTGGGGTTTATGCATATGTGTGTGCAATCCAGTATACCTAGAGTTTACTTTACATTTCCATCAGTATTTTAATAAAAATGCTAGGCATTAGCTGATAGGTGTCTAAATTACAACTTGTTAATATTTTTGTAATTTAAATATACTAAAATACTTTAGGAGCTCTTTAAGACTTCACCATCAAGAATTTTTCTAATTCCATTTGAACTTTTTAGCCAGCTAAGTTAAAGAATCTTCTAACACTGATACCATTAGTAACTCCTGAAAATAAAATGTGTGATTAAATTGAGATTTGCAATAGCCAGAGTAATTTGCACCCACCAACTTAAAAATGGTGGTTTTGTAGGATTTACAAGTGACAGCTACTAAGTTTCTTCATTAGTGTGTATTATACAATTTTGTACAGCAAGACACCATCCCCTATCCCACTTCGCCTTTCTTCGTTCCCTTCCATAAAGTGAAAAGGGGATTGAGAGATGAGAGGAGATGTCCTACCAAGACTCAGTTCCATTGGGTCTTCTGTAAGTAAATGCTGTGATTGCAGCTTTTCCTGGATTCAAGAAGTGGCTGTTCTCAGTAAGGACAGAGGGTACTTGCAGCGTCTAACATCAGGTATCAAACTTAAGTTCCTAATGTGGGAGACTGAAGTAGGAGTCATCTCATTTAAATTCAGATGTATGAAAGCTAGACATCTGAATCCATGCTTAGTACCAGAAGTGCTCTACTGCTCATTAACAAAGAGAAGTATTTCCAGAGGATGACTCATTTTATCTCTGTTTTAGAATTAATTTTCCTGCGATTGTGCCTATTAGATTTGTTTTGGTTTTCCTTTCATATTCCAAAGGTCAAGCAGACAAGTCCCTTATGTCTGTTGAATAACCTTAGAGCACTTCTGTTCTAAGCCATCCTCTGGAGCCTGGGCTAGGGACACAGGCTCCTTGTTCAAGCACATAAATTGGACGCTTGAAATCAGGCTGAACGAGCATCCACTGGGTTGCAGGAGAGTCGCATTGTCTCCTCTGCGGAAGTCATTTTCAGCCATTTCTGGTCAACAGCCCTTGAGTACAGAGAAAAAATATTACGTAAAGGCAATCATTTGGTTTGTAAAATCACTGTTATTTTGGCTGCTATTGCAGTAAAAGTTCATCAGATAAACAGTTCCAACTGGACAACTGGAAATTTTTAGCACAGTCCCTGTAAAGCAACACCACAGTACCTAATAGTCACCCTGGGGACATTTGAAGGTCAAGATCAGCCACAGATCAACCATAACACATCCTGATAATTATAATGGGTAAATCTTACTCCGTACCTGCTACTGCTACGTTTTTATGGACATCTTCTGTATCTTTCTTTCTGTACATCAAGGGGAACAGGAGAAGTGTGGGACTCCTGACCTGTCCTGGGATGGGGAGCAGTAGCCACCCTGCAGTGCAGCCGTGGGCCTAGGTTTGAGCAGGACAGAATCAGCAGTTGGTGCTCATCATTTGCCTCTTTATTAAATGGTTTGCAGCTTGCTTATCAAACTGTTAGATTTTTTTTCTAGGGTAGGCTGAAAGTTAGATAGAGCCAGCTAAAAATACAGCAGAAAGATTATTTGCAAAACTAATCACGTGTTTGCAGATTTGTTTCTGTTTTCTCAATTAAAGAATTCTAGTTTTCTGAATTTGAAATAGTTTTAACATGTGCTGAAGTGTTCCTACTTTTGATTGTTATTTTTTAAACAGCAAAGGCATGATGAAAATGCTGGTTTAAACTAAAAGAAATGTTTACAGCCATTCAAACTATGAGGCCTTTTTGGACAAAGAGACTATCTTGTGTGTTTCGAAACACAATAAAACCAGTGCTGTGGGATGATGAGCCTCAGGAATTCAAGAGCACTGGTTCCCCACTCTTACACTGACTAATATCAAAGCATCCTACTTTTGACCCACATTCCCAGGCAGAGTTTTTCTCCAGCTCCAGGTGCTCGTGAACCTCTGCGGGTCTCTGCCTCGTTGAACCTCTGCGGGTCTCTGCCCAGCCCCAGGTGCCTGCCTGAGAAACAATGCACCAGGAGCACCTAATCCCAGTGAGGAGTGGGGAGTTATCCCTCTGCTGTTCCCTGTATGAAATACAGGGGCAACACCTGAAATAGAAATTTAAATCTAATTCCAGAGAATGTTACATCTGCTATCAGTTATGTGCATGTTGTTTAGTGATAACATGCTTACAGATTGTCTGGATGGAGAAAATACGAACTTTCTTGAGAGGCTTGTCTCTGTACTGTATATTCAGACATTTTGTTATAAAGGTTGTTATAAATTTATATCACAGTAGTAATTTTATGTTGACTTTGATTCATTTACCTTCTCTATATTATCAGCCTTGCTGAAACATGCAACTGCACTGAGTCCTACAAATGTAAGTCTTTGAAAGGAATTCAAGTTGCAAATTCACAGCAGTATTTTTCTCTGAACAAGTATTGGGGAAAAAAGCCATTCTTCATCTTTGCGCTACCAGAGTTACATATTTGCAGTTCCTTGTGCTTTGTATGTCTTGTGATTGTTGCTGTCCATTTCAAAGTTTTTCCCAGAAATAATTTCTTCACCTTTATTAAGTTTTCCTTTTATTTTGCAAAGCCATAACTAATGCTACACTAGTTGTATAGCACTTTGGTTGCCAGCAGTAGACAATGTAACTGGGTTAATTTTCTTCTTCATAAATATCTTTCTGTGGGAGGGTTTTTACTGGATATACTGATTTTAGATCTGTAAATAAGGGGGGTTTTGTGTGTATTTGTGATACCACTTAAATATATTTTGCTGGTTTGGATGCTCATTTCCATGTCATGTTTTTGTTTATGCCTTGATCACTTCCCAAATTTCTGTGCTTCCTCTTGATGAATTGCATGGGTTTTTTCTGTACAGCTTGTTTCAGAGGGGTTTTTTAGCTACAAATTGCAACAGAGTTTACTAAAAATAAGGGGTATTTATAGTTTAACAATTTAATAGAAATGATAATAGCTTAAATTATTAATACCTTTCACCTTGCAATTTCTTTATCACTTTGTCAACAAGCTAGAAAAAATACTGTTTATACTTTGAGACATTAGAGAGACTTAATTGAAGACTTCAGTTATGTAAGTATTATTATGTAGTCAAACTTGTCTTCTCCAGTAAGATAAGTTAAGGGAGGGTTCCTGCCGAAGTGAGACCAAGCCTGGGAGATGAAGCAGAAGGAATCTTGGGAATGGTGAGCAGGGCAGAACTGCATATCTGCTCCTCTCAAAAACTGATGAGGAGGTTCCTGCACTCCCTCCCCATGGAACAGTCCTTTACTCTTAACAAGCTAGGGCTTGTTAAGTGAGGACTTCAGTGGGAAATGAAGGAGAAACAGAGGGTTTACTGTGACAAGGGGCGGCAGGTGTGTCAGTGGAAATTCCATGTCCAGAGCTGAGAAGGGCACTGCACCAGTAGCAGTGCCTTTAACACACTGATTAGCTGATTACAATGAGGATTGAGTGGCACTTTTTTCTTTGTTGTTTTTATGGGGTTTTTTTAAAGGAAGGAATTTAATTTTGACTCATCCCTCTAATTCATGATTGAATCCATTTCTTTTACACTTACTAATCACTGTTCCTTTTTTATTAAGTTTCTGTAGATCCTTTTGTTCAGTCTCAAATTCAGAGATACCCTGCTCACCCTCAGTACTGCCTTGCAGCTACTCTAAGTCTCCTCGAATGGAGTCAGGCAACCCAAGGTATGTCTGCATCCATGGCACTGGATTTGGGGCCTTTGGAGGGGGGGTTTGGTCAATATTTTTGGTGACCTAGGAAATAAAAGTCAGTGTAAAAAGCCACATGAATGTTCAAATACTGTTTCTTCTTAGATGCTGTTATATATGTATTATTGTTGGAAAACAAGTGTAGCATATAATTCAAGCACGTTGATTTGGAGCGAGAAGTGCATAAAGGCTTTGATCAGTGTTAGCTCCTGTGCCAGCACTGCACTCAGCTGGTCTCCCTCA